CCATGTCTGTGGAGTACGAGGAGAGCAACGCAAGCTGCTTCGGGGTATCCAGCAGCAAAGGTAAGCAGAAGGCGCCATCTTCTCCCGCGAAAGCATCGGATGTCGAGCGTGGTACCGCAGCATCTTCACCCGCCAATCCGCCGAGCTCCCCCAAGAAGTCCGGAGAGCATTCGCCTGCAAAGGCCAAGCTCGAGCAGGTGACGAACAAGTTCCGACGCAGCAAGAAAGACGACCCTCGAACCATGTCTCCCGACGAGAGGCAGAAGCGTTCAGACAAGTGGCGACAGCGCTTTCAGCAACTCAAGAGGACCGAGATCGATGAGATAGAGGCGCATCGTAGGAACTCGCGCACCTGATTGCTCATTGTGCGTTGTCGTCGTTGTCAGCGTCAGACGGCCTGGCACGCTGGTTGGATACGTCTTCGGACTCGTTGGGTCTCGATATGATACACCATCTTGACTTTCTTCTCTGTCGCAGAACGTATCCTTGGATTCGGCCGAGGATTACATCACCCTCATCGGTACGCGACACGTCCGACATCTTCTCTTAACGGCAACATTTTCCACGTCCACGAACTTCCTTGAACTACTTTCCACTGCGGCACAGCAATAATCACGGCAGCCCACGCATATCTCCGACAGTCTTCCTTCAATATTTCTTTTGACATTGGTGGACTGGCAGAACACGGCAAGGGACGTGTCATGGGCGGAGACGAGTCATCTGGCCAGCCATCCACGTCTTATCTCCTTTCCGTCAGCATCTTGCGTATAACTTCAGCCATTGTATGAATAGATAGTCAGTATAGTCATCCGTTGCGTAGTAGAATAATGATAATAATAATGAAAGTGTGTCTTTTATTCCGTGTCCCTTCTTTGCAGGCATCTGGTGTGAGTGAGCTGACGAGATGAATCGCGCACGGCCGATGTGTCGGAGTGACGGATAGGGTCCGAAAGCCACGCTATGCCGAAACAAGAAATGGTTCTAGAACAGATTGGCGTCCGAGGCCGTCGTCAGTGGACGAAATAGCGGAAACATGCGCGTCGCCATCACCAGGATCCGACATACAGCTACGTTAAACATGTGTGTATGCGAGTACAATAGGCTGGAGGTATTTATTGATATGTGCATAGTTCGACAATCACGATGGATGCATGTGTCTCGGAGTCGCACAGCCGTGTTTGGTGCGATGACGTGCCGTTATGCTTTGCGCGTTGCTGATAAATCGGGAAATAGCGTGATTTATCGACAGCTGCGGTCGTGGGGAAAAGAGGCACGGTGCTAGAACGGTTAGATGGGTGCGCGTTCTTGGCTGGGAGCGCGGCACAGGGTTCGGATGGCGGGTAGGAATCATCACGACACCAAGGCGCAATTGTTACAGGATATGGATTTCCAAGCATTGCAAACCCATGTTTTGATGTTTGAGTGGTGGCTGAGTGATTGGTGATGGATGCGGTGTCGGTTTGGCTGGCTGGCTGGAGTGAGGCTAGGTGGCTTCGCACGCGGCTTCCCTAGGTAGACAGGGATTCGGGCGGTCCCACTTGGCCTCCGCCATCATTCGCCGCAGTCCGTACTTGTCGCCGGCACGGCTCTGGCTTCCTTCCTTCCCAACCTGCTGGCTGGCCCTACTACACCACCACTGCTCCTCGCTCCCTGCTCCCGACTCCTCTCTGCTTGTCTCTGCAGCGCCGCCAACACCATTCACGCGCACTCCCCTCTCCCATCGCCTGCGCCTCCGTGACGGAGCCATTCTTTCACCGAGCCGCCCCAGCCACACGCACCGCGACCCTGGACATTGCCCTCACCCACAGTGACATGGCCCATTGATCGTGCAACTGCGCAAACACCGTCTCCCTGCACCCGCCCAGCTTCCGCCCCAGACACCAGAGTCGCCCGCTGCACTCGCCCACCGGCCTGTGCAACTGCTATGACGCAGCTCTTCAACTCGTCCACATCAAGCCACTCCACCATGGCCGAAAAGACGGAGAAACGCACCTTCTCGGGCAAGGCGCTGTCCACCAACAAGTCAGTCAATCCAAAGGACGGCCAGGTCTCGCAGCGCATCAAGAACTTTTTCCGCATCAACAGCAGCAACGACGCCAACAAGTCTTCCGACGATGGCAGCACAAACTCCAAGAACGAAAAGTCGGGGTTCCGCCAATCGCGGTTCATTCCCCACATCTCGCGCAATCGCTCCCAGACCGTCGCCAGCGAAGGCAACCCCCTGGATGACAGCGTGTCGCCGACCGCGCACGCAAACCCGTACTTTGCCCACCAAGGACCGCCGGCGCTGCGTCATCACAATGCAGGCAGCGTGCCTCCATCACCCCCAGACACCCCCGCAATGCCCAAGACGCAAGTAAATGGCGCAGCGACTACCGACGATCACGCCACAACAGCTGGGAAAGAGGAATTGGCTAGGAAACTACGAAGGGTGGCTTCCGCACCCAATGCCCAAGGTCTCTTTTCTTCGGGAAAGAATACTGATAGGCCACAGACTGCAGAACTCGGCAAGCAGCCTGTATTACACCACCCCAACTCGTCCACCTTGAGCATGGTCGAGACGAATACCCAGGATCCGACTCACCTCCTACCCATAGAAGCTGGCAAACCCATACCCTCGGCAGGCCAAATCCGACAGTCTGTGGCTTTCAGGAGAACCTACAGCTCGAATTCCATCAAGGTCCGCAACGTCGAGGTTGGACCGGGAAGCTTCGACAAGATCAAGTTGATCGGCAAAGGCGATGTCGGAAAGGTTTACTTGGTGCGGGAGAAGAAGTCCAGCAGACTATATGCTATGAAGGGTGTGTGAATCGCATCTACAATTCAAGAAACATGCGCTAACAGATTCAGTGTTGAGCAAAAAGGAGATGATCAAGCGAAACAAGATCAAGCGCGCATTGGCTGAGCAGGAAATCCTGGCCACCAGCAACCACCCTTTTATTGTTACTCTCTACCACTCTTTCCAGTCCGAAGACCACCTCTACCTCTGCATGGAATATTGCAGTGGTGGTGAGTTCTTCCGAGCGCTCCAAACACGACCAAACAAGTGCGTTGACGAAGATGCTGCGCGATTCTATGCAGCTGAAGTCACGGCTGCGTTGGAATACCTCCACTTGATGGGCTTCATTTACCGAGACCTGAAGCCAGAGAGTATGTTAAATCTCGCGCTCTATGCATCACTATACTAATAACCTTAGACATCCTCCTCCATCAGTCTGGGCACATCATGTTGTCAGACTTCGATCTGTCGAAACAGTCGGAGCCCGGCGGCCGCCCGACCATGATCCTCAGCGGCCGAAGCGGTACTTCCTCGAACAACCTACCAACCATCGACACGAAATCATGCATAAACAATTTCCGAACCAACTCGTTTGTTGGAACCGAGGAATACATTGCGCCAGAAGTCATCAAGGGCTGTGGACATACGAGTGCGGTCGATTGGTGGACCCTTGGCATATTGATCTACGAGATGTTGTACGGAACTACGCCTTTCAAGGGCAAGAACCGCAACGCGACGTTTGCCAACATTCTTCGAGATGAAGTGCCCTTCCCCGAGGGTTCTGGCGCGCCGCAAGTGTCAAAGTAAGTTGTAAATCGTACCTAGTGTGAATTCTGTGCTAACAATTGTAGTCTTTGCAAGGCCATCATTCGCAAGCTATTGATCAAGGACGAGACTAGGCGACTTGGATCCCGTGCCGGCGCTTCCGACATCAAGACGGCACCTTTCTTCAAGACGACGTCATGGGCCCTACTACGGCACATGAAGCCACCGATCGTCCCTCATCAAGGCCAAGGTGTCGAGACACCCAACTTCCGGAATGTTAAGGAGTCCCAGAGTGTTGACATTGGCGCCGCGCGAGTCAAGGGCGTCCCGCTAGACTCTGGTCTCGCCACGCCGATGGGCGAGTTGGCAGATCCGTTTGAGGAGTTCAACAGCGTTACTCTGCATCACGACGGAGATGACCACCACCATGAAGATCAACACTCGTCGCATCTTCACCTCACACAAACCAACTCTCAACGATAGACCAGGCGTTAATTCGTATGATAAACACGCGCACTGTATTCATCACTCACCGGAGGACCTCACTATATCGAAAGTCGTTCCTCTTGACTCCACTCATTTGTTGGGACGGATCATAGACAAATGCGTTTCTCTTCCTCATCACAGCGGCGTTTCAGGGAGTTCCATTCTAGCTTTCTTCGTTTCTTGATCGCGTAGGGATCTCTCTCTCTCGAGCTCGTTTTCTTCTCTCTTACCAATCAGCATTCTTCGTGTGCTGTAAAATCTCTCTCTGGCGTTGTCTATATTTTTTGTTGTGAACATGGTTGTGGATTAGGCTGGTCTAGTGTAGGCTAGTTTGAGAGCGGAGGCAGCTTGGACAGGGAAGATGGAGATGGTGATGATAGGTCGAGGGAAGAGGGAAGAGGGATGGATGGTACTGGGAGGGCGTAGCAGAAGCAATGAGAAAGATATCTTTGAGATAATATTGTGCTGCGTGATGTGAAGAGTGAAATCAATGTGATGTGATGTTAAGTTTAGAAACTTCTGGTCGAGCACCCGTAGGCTATAATAGAGTGATTGAGGGTAAGAACGCATGGGCCAACGCGGAGTTTGCGGGGAAGACGCGACAACGATTCGCGAGAACCCTTGTTTCTTGTCAAACAACGCGACGAAACGAAGGACGACGCTACGCAAGTACCTTGAATAACACCGGCACGCCCAGCCTATACGACGTCGAACTCGGAGGGTCGTATACCGGGATCCATTCTCAAGCAACCTATACAGCGCAATACCATCCACACACGACCACGCATTCAGCGCAAACCATCTTCACCCCGCCGCTACCCGATCTCCCACGCTCGCTCGCCGTCTCTTACTGTACATCCACGCGCGGATATAGATACAACACCACCTACCTACCTACGCATCCACACAACCACCCCAGCTCTATACCAATTGCACACAAACAAAAAGGAGGAAAGGAGGAAAGCAGACCATGGCCTCAGAGCCCGCACCGACAGAACCAAACTTCGGCGCTTCGCAAACCTCGGAAGGAGAGGAGAGTCTCAGTCCGCTCGAACAAGAGGTCTTGGATGAGTATGCGAGATTGTTGGGGAATTTGAATAATGTTAGTCCACCTCCATTATCCACCCCCCTCTATCCATCAACCCTCTTCCACCCCTCTATCCACCCTTCCGCACTTCCTCGCTAACACCACACCAAGCTATCATCCCTCCTCCTAACGCTCTCCAACAACCCCAGCGCCGCGATCCTCGATGGGCTCCGCGGGTTAGAAAGGAAAACAAGTTTGGTGTTTACGCTGCTCAAGGCGAGTGTGTATAGTATTGTGTTGAATCAGCAGATTGATACTGAGGGCGGGGATGGGGATGGGGAGGGCGAGACGGGGGGGTTGATGGAGGATGAGTAGTCGGGGGTAGGGGTGTGCGGAGAGGAAGGAGGGTGTGAGGAGGGGATGGGGAGGGAGGGAGAGGGGAGAGTGAGAGGAGTGGATGAAGTGGAAGGGGATGGAATGAGAGCGTTTGACGATTATGATACCCCACTAGATGAGCAATGTAAACACATACTTCGATACAGCGAGCTAAACAGAAAAGTTGGTATGCAAGATAACATGATATGATACAAGATATCTACACAAGCTCTACATGAGCATTTCCACTTCATACCATGCCATGCCTATGATACACATCTACTCCATCCCCCCTCTTCACATGCAGGAGCCCCAACATCAGTCATATAGCCATCCATATACCAACGTACACAGACTAATGTATGCTCCCTCCATAGTAAACCTTCCTCACATCCACCAGCTTCTTCCCCCTCGCCCTCGCAATCTCATCCGGTAACCTCTGCTGCGTAAGCGCCTCCCACGTCGCCTTGATAACGTTCATTTTATTCCTCGACCGCGGTGTCTTGGCAGACAGATCCTGGAGACCCGCTGCACGTGCGAGTTCGAAGATGAGATGTTGGACGCGGAGACCGAAACCTGCTCATAGTCAGCCTTCATACTTGCGAAAAGGTAGGTCACAAGGGAAGTCTAGGATAACGAGGAGAATGAACTTACCAGGTGGTCTCGCAAAAATTTGGACCTTGGTCGCACCAACCTTCTTCTCCAGATCGCCAAATGTGGTTCTGTTCTCGTAACGAGGAACAGGACGCATGTTTCGTATGGCGCTCATGACGCTCTGCTTGCGGCCTTCGTCCGGTTCTACGGATTTGCCTTCTCCGACGCCGAGGAGCCCGTCTTGGTTACCCGCAATGGTCAGGTAGTACATACTTCTTATCTTGCCCATGCGAGTCTGATTGGTAACGAAGTGCGTAACCAGTGTCTTAACGCGGATCTGACGCAGCTTCTGCTTGTCCCAGCCGAGGTATTGCAAGAGACGCTTTTGCCGTGGGTCCTCTTCTTCTTCGGTCGAGAGACGCCGGGTCTGACGGACCATGCGGTTTTCGACGCGGGGGAGATCGGGTGCGATGACCGAGTGGCGTTCGTCGCCTAGGGCTTGGAGGGCGGCGGGGTTCTTGGATGTGTAGGTTGCGCGGGGGTCGAGGGTGGCTTGGGTGACGGCTGCGTCCATGGCTTTTTGTAGGTTCTCGTCGTCTTCTGGTATGCCGTCCGGGTACATCTTTGCGAGATTCTCAGTGGCGATGCGGGTTATGTTCTCGTCGCGCTCGACTTCGTTGGCGATGCGGAAGGTTTTTGGGCCTTCGATGTCGTCGCCTGTTAGGCGCTCAGGTCGGTCCGTCACGGGGTCGACTTGCGCCAGGTCGTCTTCGTAGTTCATACGCCATGGATCTGTTCTTCGCTGGCCCTGCGTGAGGACATCTCGGGCGTCGATTGTAGATTCGGCGGCTTTGATGGCGGCGATTTGCGAGGGTGTGTACTTTTTCTCCAGCAGCGTCGTCTCCGAGGTGTCGTACTTGGGGCACTCTGCTTCGGCGGCCTGGTTGAGGAGCTTGAGGTCATCGGCCTTTATTGACGGGTAATGCGGTCTCCTCTTGCGAGCGGGTCTGGGTGCGGAAGCATGGAAGGTGCGTTGCGGAGGCGGTTTAGGAAGCGTCGTCGATGCTGCTTTGGTGAAGAGACATCTTGCGGGGCGGCAGACGCTCATTGTTGGCCTTGGACCTCCGGGTGAGGGCCAATTGAGCGTGGGGAGGCGGTAATAGCGGGTGGCCTGCGCGGCGTTGTGATGGTCAAAGTGAAGTTCGGAAAGTTCAGCGTGACTAAGCGGGATGGCAGTAATCGCTCCAGCCAATCGCCGTCTCTCTATCCCAGTGACTAACGCGACTTTCTCTTTTCTCCATCCAATTTCACGATTTACTGCATGTACTCTCGGATTTTTACTCGACCGCTCCGGACACTGCTGGTCAGTAGCCGATATACCCAGATTGCTAGATACAGAATGGCTTCGTCAGCGGACAATGTCGCGCCTGTTGAGAGCAACGGCGCGAAAAGATATGCCGAGACGCCTCTACGGAGCGAGGAAGGACCACGAGGCAACTATAGATTCAAGAACAAGCGCATGAAGAATGGACATGCTGAGCAAAGCAAGATTCTGAAAACAAACGGAACCAATGAGGAGGTATTATTGCAGGATGTTACTGCGCTCATCAAGAACCTCAACATAGAAAGAGAAGGAAAGGAAATCTCTTCAACACTGGCAGAAAAGTTCAAGGAGATCGAGGTTGAAATCAAAGAAATCTCTTCCACCGGAGATGGTCTCGGTTTTCAGAAAGATTCAGATTCGGACCAGGTCTATGTCGTACCCTTTAGCGCACCAGGAGACATCGTGACTGCACGACCGCACAAGCACTTTGAGAAAGAAAAGTACTCCATGGCCGACTTCGTCAACGTGATCACGCCCTCACCCCAGCGCGATGATTCCCTAGTAAAGTGCCCCTACTTCGCCAGCTGTTCCGGCTGCCAATTCCAAATGCTACCCTACGACACGCAACTCGCGCACAAAAAGACCATCGTCGAGAAAGCCTACAAGAACTTCTCCAATCTCCCACCAGAGCTCATCCCCACCATCGGCGACACAATCGGATCGCCATTGCAATACGGATACCGCACAAAGCTAACCCCCCACTTCGACGGCCCACCCGACGCCCGCCGCAGCGACGGCCGCAACGGCATAAAGCGCACCTTCAAAGAGGTCCCACCCATCGGCTTCATGAAGAAAGGCACCCGCAACACAATCGACATAGAAGACTGTCCCATCGGCACAGACGCCGTGCGCGCCGGCAACAAGCGCGAGCGCAAACGCGTCGCAGACACCATATCCACCTACCACAAAGGAGCCACGCTCCTCCTCCGCGAGTCCACCACCCGTATCCCCAAGACCGATTACGACGCCACCAAAGAAACAGACCCCGACGCCGTGATTGAAGACCGAGGCACGCACATCCACCGCAAAATCTGCATCACAGACCCCAACGCCAAATCCACAGAATACATCTCCGACGAATTCCAATTCGTAAATCCAGCGGGCTCTTTCTTTCAGAACAACAACTCCATCCTCCCTGTTTTCACACAGTACATACGCGAGAACATCTTGCCTTCACCCGGCCAAGACCACAAAATCACCCATCTCATCGACGCATACTCCGGTTCCGGTCTCTTCACCATCACGCTATCCGCGCTATTTAAATCATCGCTCGGAATCGACATTTCATCCAGCAGCATCGAGTCTGCGAGCACGAACGCAAAGTTGAACAACTTGCCGGAATCTTCTACGCGGTTTATCGCGGCGGATGCGGCGAGGCTGTTCGCTTCGATCAAGTCGCCCGCGGAGGAGACGGTCGTTATGTTGGATCCGCCGCGGAAGGGCTGCGATGAGTCTTTTCTGAGACAGCTGGTGCAGTATGGTCCTGCGAGAGTGGTTTATGTGAGTTGTAATGTGCATACGCAGGCGAGGGATGTGGGGGTCTTGGTTGGCGGGATGACGGGTGTGGATGGGGGGTTTGGGAAGGGAGAGGGGTGCTATGAGATTGAGAGTTTGAGGGGCTTTGACTTTTTTCCGCAGACGGGGCATGTGGAGGGGGTTGCTGTGTTGAGGAGGAAGGGCGGTGGGGAAAAGGCGGCTAAGGACGCGGAGTCATGAGGTTGATTACGGTCTCTTCTTGGTATGGTTAGTGAGCGATCAAAGGCATGTCGATCTGATGTGTTGATTGTCTTCTCATTGTCAAATGTTTTGCTGCCGTCTCGTGCTCGCTCAATGAGCCATGCCAACATCTACACACATTCCCTACGATATCTCGTCGCTTATGTGCTTCCTGGTCCACCCAGCAGCGCGAACCTTCGGACAATGCTGGGACCAATCTCGTCGTATTCCGCCTTGGTGTGGCAGTAGCTCTTGAACTCGGGAGTCTGACCGAGCAAGCTGCCTCCGAACCATGGGCCGTGTCTTTGCCTCTTGTGCGTAATGACTTGTACGTCCAGACCACCACTCTTTGCGCCTCCGCTCTTCGCTTCCGAAGCCTTAATCCTTGCGTCGACCATGTGCCTGATATCGCGTTGCAGACGTCGGCCAAAGTCCTTGTATAGTGTTGATCCACCTGAGAGCACAATGTTCTTGTAGAGTCCTCTGCGTACGTCGATGGGGGAGGATTGGATGACAGTGTCGACAATAGTAGGTAGCGGGGTGAGGAAGTCGGAGGAGTAGATCTCGGGGTTGAAGAAGATCTCAGGCGCGAGGAAACGTTCGTAGCCGACATCGACGGACGTGGTCTTGCCGTTGGGGTAGTTGACGGTGTGCTTCTTGAATCGGTCGTCCGACTCGCGGTCGAAGCGTGCGAACTCCTTGACAATGTCAGGGCATACGTAGCAGTATTCCTCCTTGATGCGCTCGGCAGTCTGGAGGGAGGAGTCGGGTTCGCCGCGTTCTCGGAGGAGCGATTGTACGAAGTTGGTGATGTCGCGACCGGCGATGGGGACACTCTTGATGGAGGAACCGATGACGTAGCCTTCAGCAACGGGGATAACGTGCGTGACACCAGCTCCGGAGTCGATGACAGTTCCGGTGAGGGATCGGTCCTGCACCTTGGAGCTAGTCCATGACGCGGCCAGGGCGAGCACAGCTTGTACGGCAATGTAGAGACCGGCGACGTTGAACGACTCGAACATGATTTCGGCGGTGGCTTCGCGGTTCTCGGGAGGGTTCAGTGGCTATGGCTTGTCAGCTCCATTCTCCAGCGATTGGAGAAAGATAGCGTACGGGCTCGGTGAGGAGGAAGTGGTGGTCCTCAGGCTCCACTCTCAGGTACTTGAATATCGAGTTGGACCAGAAGCGTTCCATAAGGTCCTGCATGCCATTAGTACACCCTACCCTCTATCTGCATGCCTCTCCATACCCAGTTGTCTATCTGACCATGCCTGATCGGGTAGTTGATGCCATAGCCCGCGCCTCCAGCTGCGGCCAGAGCTTCGTCGCCGATGAAGAAGTCGAGGTCCTCAGTACCGCGCTTTCCAGACAGATGCCCACCCGGTCCAGCTCCACCAGTCAAGAATGAGGGCTTGTTCGCAACGGCTGGGCGTCCAGAGCCTGATCCGCCGCTACCGCCTGTTGGGCCTTTGGTAGCTATCGCGGTGGGGAAGACGAAGGAGGGAGAGTCGTTGCCGGCAAAGCCTGGTGGATTGTTATTAGAGGCCAACTACACGAATTGAATTGGTCAGCGTACCGAGCTTCGAGTATCCCGTACCGCTATAGCCAGTGTCAGTACTCGATCGCAACGTGGGTGCCCATGGCCAGCGGGTAGCTTACTTGTCCATGACAACGGCGGGGGTTTGAGACGCCATATTTGCTGCTGCTTGGCACAAAAACAAATATGCAACGCAGCTCAGGTGGTACCTGATATAAGAGCAGAAGCGCGTGGGCTGGGTGTCGAGGTGGCTTCGTCAAAGAGGTGACGACGGCGGTCGGTGCACGTTGTCGAATCAGGCACCGCCCCGCTCCGCCCTTGGCAGCGGAGTGAGACGAAATAGTGGGGAAGGACTTGCTCACTTGGTCAACACGATCGCTCCTACCTCCCTGATCTGCCGTGCCTACCGCTTCAACAGAGTCTGTGTCATACCGCAAAATACTGCAACCACATGGCTTAGGCTGATGCACAGAGGAAAGAGCCATCGCAAGCTCATTTTTGACATCGCTGCTAACCTCCTCTCCACTGACTGTGCCCCTACAGCGCTCATCGAGCATCTCTCCCACTCTCATTGCTCACCCCGCCGCCACAGGTCACCATCGCCTTTACATCGGCTCCTCCTCTCCATTAATTTCTCATTGTTTCCCCCCTCAGTCACCTCGTCTGTCCTGGAATTACCTATCTTCTCTTCCGAACCTACACCTGCCCGTGTCTCGAATGACCGCTTAACGACCGTTCCAACAGTCAACCTCACAGCCGTCTGCCGCTACCGCCCACTCTAGAGCGACACCGGATCATCCCAATAATCGGCCAAACGTCCCCGCCCGGCAACAAACGCTCGTCGCGTCTGTACAGATCCAAAACTGCAACCAAGCCTCATCTGAGAACCGTCATCTCTCACTGCATTGCACTGGATACGTTCGGCCTGCGCTTCCGCGACCTTTGTCGACGCTTTTCCACTCACAAAGGCATGTCGGTCCCTAGTCGTCACTATGCACCCATAGACGGAGCTTATCATATTGATACGCACACACGCAAAGCCTCGCGTAGTCCGCCAAACGATGATGTATGCTGCATATATGTTCACGCTGGCGCCGGCTACCATAGTCACCAAAACGAGAGGATACATCTAGAAGCGTGTAACGAGTGAGTTTTCTGGTGTTTTCTCTAGGTTGTCCCGCGTACGCTCATGCTAATATGCGCAGTGCCGCGCAGCTGGCCATGTTGATTCTGAAGAACGGCGGCTCAGCGCTAGATGCTGTCGAGGCTGCAATCAAGACATTGGAAGATCGAGAAATCACCAATGCTGGCTATGGAAGCAACCTCGCAATGGACGGTGTGGTTGAGTGCGATGCCTCCGTGGTCGACCATTACGGGCGTAGCGGAGCTGTTGGGGCTGTCGCTCGTAAGTCTAGCAACTAAAGGCTATAGTCCAGTACTGACAATGATTACAGAAATCAAAAACCCTATTTCGCTAGCACGAATGGTGCACGACCACACGATGAGTCCACTTACGCTGCGTCGAGTCCCTCCAAACCTCTTGGTGTCGCAGGGTGCCACCGACTTTGCTGTGGAGATGGGTATGCCGATTCTGCCCCACGACGCACTCATTTCTCCCGCCGCGAAAGAGCGCTGGATGCGGTGGCGGTCCGACTTGAGGTCTGCCGAGCGCAAGTCCAGGAAGAGCGGCGCCCACCCGTCCTGTTGGAAGATCAGGGACAATGTGGCGCCAGCGGATGAGCGAGCGCACGAACGCGTGCGCGAACAACACACCCAAAACCTGCTACGCACCCACAAATCCCTACTGCAGTCACAGTCACCTCCGCTTTCCGACGATGTGATGTACGACCAAGCTGAGAATGCATCTTCCGACCCTTCAGTTCCTCCTTCAGAGCAGTCGTCGAGCTCTTGGATAAGCGATGAGCAGACCAGTGCACCCGAACTGATCGATCAAGCCCCATCGCCTGCTGACGTACGCCCACCTACTGTTGCAGATGCTTCTCGCAATGCCTTTGTCAACAGTACGCAACAGATCCCTACCCTGAAAGAGTATCGTCGCGATGCAGGCTACGAGAGCATTATGGAAGATGCGCAGATGGAGGACATGACCTACGCACCAAAGCCACGCAAAGCATGGGCTGATGGGTCTGGGGAGGAGTTTGACTCTGATTCGAGTGCGCAGACAGCAAAGGGCAACCCCATGGAGAGCTCTCAGTGTGATGGTATCGACACTCGTCTGCCACAGACTCCTGACGAGGACTCAGTCAATTCGAAGTTCGCTACCGCATCGACACCTCTGAGTCACGTCAAAGAGACCGCGCCACTACCGCCGATGCCATCTAATTCGAGCCGCCATGAACCCGAGGAAGATCACATTACGGATACCGTTGGGGCTATCGCAATAGACAGCTGGGGCAACATTGCTTGCGGTGCATCTTCTGGTGGCATTGGCATGAAGTATCGAGGGCGCGTGGGCCCAGCAGCTCTCGTCGGCGTTGGTGCTGCAGTCATTCCCGTGGACCCCGACGACCCCGAGCAGACCTCTGTCGCGACTGTCACAAGCGGGACCGGTGAGCACATGGCAACCACAATGGCCGCTACGGTATGCGCTGAGCGTCTCTATCAGAGCGTGAAGAAGAGCCGTGGCGGTGACTACGTTGAAGTCACCGAGGACGAAGCTCTCAAAGCAATGATCGAGAACGAGTTCATGGGTACGCGGTCTTTGTCGCTAACATTTGCGATATACTAACTTCACGCCAGGCCACCCAAGTGTCAAACACAGCAACTCCGCAGGCGCCATCGGCATCCTTGGCGTCAAGAAGATGCGCTCCGGCATGCTGCTCTACTACGGACACAATACCGACTCTTTCGCCATGGCATCCATGTCATCTGAAGACGACCGACCCGCCTGCTCAATGTCGCGCAGTAACGGCAACGGCCAAATCGCACAGGGTGGAAGGATGATGCCCATGAGGCGCAACAAGAAGACCAAGTCTACCCCTCGCCGATGACCGTGGTCATGCGCGGATACATGAGCTGCTGCCCTAAGAACCTACACCCCTAATCACCCTCAGCCTCACACCCTTGGTGCTGTCCGAGGAGCGTTCGTCACTGCCTATGGTCCTGTTCTTCTTTCATTCGTGTAAAAGCATTTGCATCTATGGTAGTTCTATACCCCTGCATGATGGTTGTCTTTCTCGTCCTTTCTAGCATACTGAGCGGCATCTCAAGAATTGTCAGAATTGTATCATTAGCCCAGAAAAGTCATTTCGTGTTCTCCTGATCAGTCATCTACAATTCAGTGGTTCAGTTGGCGCCCAATCGTAGCAGCCGGTCTTGAAATGCAACACACGGGTCGTACCAAAGTTCCGCGTCCTGGATGTCCACATTATCGGAACGCAGACTGTACGGCGCCCTAGATAGGAGTCTGACTCATATGAGCGTGGCGACTATTCTCAAATTGTGAGTCCTTTGATATTGAACACTGACTTGATGAGTTTCCAGGTCGCTCAGCGGTATTGGTGATGCAATACCGTGAGTCACCACGCGCGTAACCAATCACTGATCGGCGAGGGCCAATGGGGGTCCGCGAGTACCAGTGTCTGCCATCGCGTCCCAAAGCGTGAGTGCAGTCACACCCAACCGGCTTCGTGATGCAGCATACTATATAAACCTCCTATCTCGTACCGATACTTCCTTCCTCAATCATGGCGTCCAAGAAGTTCGCCCATTGGAACAGCTTCCCCTTCATGACCGCCCCGCGAACGAAATACTACTCCGGTCAGACACAATCCCCGCTTTTCCGACTATCCCGCGAGATTCGGGATATCATCTATGAATACTACGCGCTAGGAGAAGGCGACAATGGCTACCATTACGACAGTGAGACTGGGAAGATGCTCGAGCATTCGCCATCATCAGAGCCTAAGCGCGTTATTCGCCTTGGTCTCATGATTACATGTCGCATTGCTGCTGAGGAGCTCAAGAATTACGCTTTCCGCAAGTTGCAGTTTAGCCCTCATCTTTCGCAGGATGATGGACAAGCGTTTTTGGGACTTGCTTCGAGGGCTGGGCGGTTTCAGAGCTGTAAGTGCTCCATCTATACTCGAGCCTAGAGTGTTTCCCTTTCACTAACACGGAATATCATAGTGTTGAGATTAATAGACCGTCAAAAGCAACGGATGTTAATCACGGTATGCAAAATGCTAGAGCCTGAAGACTGGCTTGATCTGCATCACCGGTTCCCATCAGTTCAAGTGTTGCGTCCGACACAGATGAACAACGGCCTACATCTGGCTCCACTAGACTTCAGCGACGCTCTTCAACACATCCTCATCCTGGCAAAAACCCGCGATCCGCCCAAATTCGCGGAGCTGGCCTGTAGTGTGTTTGGTTTGGGCAGGTGCCCATTGGCTACTTGGAACATCTCTGACCCCCACAACAACTACTTTGATGAAGGCGCATTGTACAGCATCTATTCCTGGCATCCCAACTCGTGGATATTACCAAGCAACGAAGATCTAGCTAAGCTAGAGGCTCTCATCTGTTTACCTGTCGACTCAGATTTTCGTCACCCAATAACGAAGGATGGGACCTTCTACTTTGAAGACATATCAGACCACGTCCGGGCCTCTGGATGCAGTCTCTGGTACTTCTCGGCGGCATCTATTGCGATCGACTTCTGTGAGTAATTCTTCAAACCCTCCCAAAACTTATCTCCATTATGACTCTCTTCATTTTGGTGTAACTTCCCACTAACAAGCTCAGTGGAAAAAACGCCTGAACAGCAGAGACAAAATATGCGTACGATCATCCTCAACGAATCCACAAACACCGTCTCCCATTCTGCACACCATGCGCGTGGATTCATACCCTTCTGTCGAGAAAATCCCAAACTTCGCATAGAAAGACGAATCAGACTTTGCGCGCTCGAGTTGACCAGAGAAATTTCAGGGCCAGGCCATTGGGTCATGGAATACAGTTTTCGAGAAATGATGCCCTGGATTGAAGCGGCTTTGGAATTACCCGCGCTTGGGATGCATGCTTCCTCCTTCAGTCTGGTGATTGAAGGTGGACCCGATGCTTGGTCTTTCTTCAAATACGCGGCGGCTTTACATGAGGCGACCCTGGAGTACCATAGACGGAACGGGTATAAGATACCAACTCGGTCCGATGACCCTCAGTCGATACCTTACAGGAATTAGTGGGACCTTCCACAACATTTCTTAAAGACTGTACAATTTAATTAATTAATTAATATTAGTTTTACGCCTATATATAACCTTTTAGAGAGTATTCTAGTAAGTACTACTAAGAAATTATAGTAGTAGCACGCTACTTTATAAGTTTAGTTAGAGTAAATTAAGTATATATTAAAGAGAAGAGAAAGACCTCTAGGTGCCTCTTATACCTATTATATTTAGTAGTAATACTACTTTTTAGTAGTATTATAGTAGCTTACTACTATATTAGATATAGATAAAGTAAGAAAGTAATAAATATAAATATAAAGTAAAAATAATAAGAAAATAGTAAATAAAAGTAGATAATAGTAGCTTTTAGGCTACTAGTACTCTACTAAAAAATGCTAAGAAATTTAGTAAGTCTTAGTAAAATTTAAATTTATAGTGTAATTATACTACTATAGTAGTTTATTACTTTAGTAAAGAATATAAATTTATTAGACTAGCTTATTAATTCTTTAAAGTACTTAAGCCTCTTTTCTCTAGTACTAGAAAGAGTATTAGATTAAAGAAGCTAGAGTTAAAATTTTACCTAAGTTCTTCTATAAAAAATAATATATTTAGAAGTCTTAGCTCTACTATATATATACTTTAAAGTTATATCTTTATAGTTAAATCTTTAGTAATACTAAGTAAAGTCTCTATATTTAGAGTAAATTATTAGAGCTTTAGCTAGTATACGCTAGAGTAAAGTTAATATAGTTAGTAGCTATCTAGTAGCGTAAAATAGCTACTATTATAAGTACTAAGTAGATAGTTTACCTCTCTTAGTATTCTACTAGTTATAGTAAGCTTATTTTAGTAAGCTTTAACTAATTAATCTAATACCTAAATATATAAAGTTATTAGCTTAGCTAAATAGTAGATATAAGTTTTTAGCTTTATTATTTACTATTTAGTCTACTAGTTTATTTTTAAAGATACTAGTATATCTAGATACCTACTATACTTATACGTTATAGATATTTATAATACTATATATCTATAAAAAAGCTTATTAAAATAATACTAGTGCTTATTTTTAGATACTCTAAATAATAGAGGTACTATTAATATAGAGTATAATCTTCTAGTAGCTAGATAAAGTAAGATAAACTATATATATAAGACCTCTATAAGCTTTTATTACTTCTATATTAAATATATAAGAAAGAGAATATAATAAGCTCTAGCTAGTTATTAATTTAGTTTATTTTTAGTAAATAGTATACTTATAGATTACTACTCTTTAACTTTTAATTTATTACTTAGAGCTATCTAAAAAGATAGTTACTATTATTAAGCTAAAAGCTTTCTACTATACTTTAAAAGAGGCTATAGCTTTAGCCTTAGCTTAGCTAAAAGTAGAGTCTTTTTATAAGTCTAGTAAGAAATATTAAATATTAGTTAATATTAGTTTAAGAATAGCTAGAAGTAGCTAAGCTATCTATTAAACTTTTAATTAAGAGCGTTAGTATTCTCTAGCCTCTCTACTCTATTAAATAAAAAGTAGCGTTATTTTATTTACTAGTAAGTAGAAACTATCTATACTTAGTAGGTATACTAATTATTAAAGCTTAATCTCTTCTAAAGCTACTACTATAAATAGTATAGTAGCCTCTTTTAGTATAATAGCGTTTAGTATAGTTCTCTATACTAGTAGTATAGCTTTTATAGTAGTTATTATAGTATAGTTTATTATAGCTAGATACTACTTAATATAAGTACTAATAGTAGACTTCTAGAAAGCTCTAATAATTTATAAGTTCTTTATTTTCTTTTTATACTATACTTTAGCTCTATAAAATAGTAATAGTATAATATAAGTTATAACTACTTTATAAAGAAACGTAGTAGGTAGGCTATAAATAGTATTTATAAGACTTTAAAAGTAGTAAGAGATCTTTTAAGTAACTACTATCTATTTAGTAATATAAGTTTTAAAAGTTAGCTTTCTATTAAACTATACCTTTAGCTAGTAAAAAGTAGCCTAGCTACTATTTACCTTAGAGAGAATAGTATAAATTTCTTAATTATTAAGCTAGATAAAAAGAGAAAGTAGGCTTTATTTTCTTATTAAGTAAATTAGCTTAGTCTTCTTAAAAGTAAATATAACTTTATTTACTACTCTTTATTTATTAATAGACTTTAAATTAAAGACTAGTAATATAGTACTTTTATCTAGAGAATAGATAGTTCTATAAATATAAATATTATTAGTATACCTAAAGCGTAATTATTAGTTCTAGTTTAAAAGTTTAGCTAAGTAGAGAGTATAAAGAACTAGTAAAAGTAGTAATTCTTAGAGTATTCTATAGCGTATAGAGTAGACTAAAGTAGTAGCGTTTTCTAGTCTTATATAGATAGTTCTATTAGATAGAAACTTCTAAATAAGCTTTCTAAGAATTAAAAGCTAGCTCTAATTTTTAAGTTATTAAAGAAACTAATTCTTAAGTAGTATATTAAATACCTCTTAAATATCTATAGTAGCTATAAATATATACTTATACTTAGACTAGATAGTTTTTATATTATAGATAAAAGATATAACTAGATCTATAGCTAAGCGCTTAGGTAGTACACTTCTATACTATAGACTAAGAATATTATAGACTATAGTAATATAGGCTATCTATCTTATAATAATTTAGTTAAGACTCTTATCTATATATAATATAAGAGTAATAAGTCTTATTAAGTAGAGAGAAGACTTATTTTTCTTTCTAATCTTTAGAATTATAGCTACCTCTATATTACTTTATATATCTCTATAATAGACTTTAGTAAAATATTCTTAGTAAATAGCGTATATAAAGAATTAAATATATAACTAGCTTACTTTAAGTAGCTTAATAGTAACTCTATTAAGCCTAGATAAAATACTAAAGATAATAATTATACTCTTTTTAACTTTTTTTATAGAAATATAAGTATTCTAGAGTAGATACTTATTAGGCGTCTTATCTATAAGAGGTAGAGGCTTAGAAAAGTTATCTTCTACTAAAAAGTAGTTAAGTATAGCTTTTTATAAAGCTTTAGTCTTTTCTAAAAATATAGTAAAAGTTTAGCTATTAATAATTAGTAAAGTATCTATTTAGTTATATATTATCTTATACTACTTAACTAGCCTATAAAGGTTCTAGTTAGAGATATAGAAATTAATATAGTATTACTAATACTCTCTCTTAGCTTTTCTAACTTTAGTAAGAAATACTCTAGTAGTATTAAAGAGTAGCTTACTATTAGAGGCTTTATTTCTAATATAAACTCTATATAAAGCTTAGTACTTATTTATCTACTAGAGCGCTAAGTAGCCTAACTTATAGGCTAGCTTACTAGCAACTTTAATAGTATTATTTATAGCTTTAGTAATATCTACTATACTATTTTTAATTTATTATACTATTAGATTTTAGCTAATAGGCCTAAGGCTAATAAGATTTAGTTTAACTAGCCTAGTAAACTAAAGTAAGTTATAGTTAGAGATATAGTAGTAATATTATTCTAAGACCTATTAGCTATAGCTAGGTAGAACTATTACTAAGATATTATAGTTAGATTCTAACTATAGAGTAGTCTATACTAAAGTTCTAGTAAAGAGAATATTTAAAAAAAAGACGTTAATAATATACTTAGTATAATAAGTAGGCTCTCTAAGTTCTCTAATAAAAGAGATATTATTTTAGCTAGCCTAGTAGATAACTTTTAAACTACTATACGTAGTAATAGAATCTAGTTTAAAAAGTTTATATTAGACGTTTAAGTTCTCTCTAATAAGATAATTAAAAGAAAAAGTTAAAAAAACTAAGTAGTATAAAGTTATATTATCTAAGAGTTATTAGTAAAAGTTTAAAATAGAGTATCTATTAACTTTAACCTATAAGAGGTCTCTACTAAAATAAAGATAAATAATATTAGCTTTAAAGCTAGAGACTTTTTAGATATAAGTTAGAACTTATAGGTAGTTTTATTTTTAAGTCTTAGAGTTATTCTAGCTAATTACTAAAGAGAGTATATAGTAGCCTAGATAATTAGAGATCTAGATACTAGTTATAGTAAAAAGTTCTTAGATATAAATAATATTAATTTTAGTATTTTATATAAGTTAAAGAGTAGAAATATAGTAAAGTAAGCTTTTAGCTATATTAGACTAGTAGACTTAAAGCTAGCTATTATAGTTCTATAAGTAATTACTATTATTATAGTAGAGAGATTAGAAGTATCTCTATTAGAATAGGTACTTAATGTAGTTAATTATATTATATGTGTATCTAGTTATTATTGTTGTCTAAACACTGTTTAGACCTAGCTTTCTCTAGCGTACTAACTCTTAAGCCTAATAGCTATTTAGCCTATTATTATGTTACTAGTTTTACTACTATATCTCTTCTATACTTAAGAAGAAGGTCTTCTCTTCTTCTTAAGTATAAAAGAGAGAATAGCTCTTAGACATCTTCTTCTACTTATTA